CTTCCATCGAAGGTCTTGATGTTTTTCAACGCTAACCCTATATCTAACCTCTGTGGTCCTACGGTCGAGGGTATGCTTCGCTTTTCTCTTGCGGATTCCGGCCGTAACCTTAAGCTCGGCCTGGTCCTCAGGTCCCGTTCGGATTCGAGCCGTTCTAAGCGTCTGGTGAGCGCGCTAATCTGATCTTGTAGGGCGTTTATGAGTTCGTACTCGTCGGCTCCTACTTCGTTGAGGGTTTGCGCCAAATCTCTTCTCGCGTTCGGAGTATGCTCTGACCGGCGTCTCTGCGACTCAAAGACCTCGTCTTGTCGTCCTTCCCCATCGAGATACGTTCCCAGGTCAGCTGGGTCGTGGTTAGGCGTCCGTATGGGTCGTCTTTCGCGACTCATAAGTGCTGCATTGGGGGAAAGGCCTCGAGCCATGGTTACTGCATTTACGGGATCTGAGACGGCAGTCCGCCCGCGTAGACGCGCGATTTCCTCGTTCACCATGGAATCTGATATTCCCGGAGGAGGAGTCTGTCTTCCGGAGGCCATATCGCCCAGTCGGTCCAAGAGAGTGTCGTCGTACTCGTCGAAGGCCGATCCCCTTCACGAAACTACCCCGAATTGAGCGTTTAAGCTACCCGAGATAGCCGCCTGTCGACCCGCGGGTAGGCGTCCTGACGGCGAGAGAGTTTGTAGTGCTCTCCTAGCTCTAAAGGTTATATCTCCGACCGCGGCTTCTAATCCGGCTACGGCGTTAACGTTTTCCCTATCCAAAGGTGATTCCAACGAGCCTTCCCTACGTAAGGGGCGCGGATTAGTATCGCCCGGCATGTGCTGACTCGCGCGAAGTGAGTCAGGGTTTTACCGCGACTAGCTATTTAGAGACAACTATCGGTGAGAACAATTCCGACTAGATTACCTACTGGCTTTGGAAATTTTATAGGCTTTATAAATTGGTTACCGCCACTTACAGGATGATGCTCCACTCCGTGGCGTTGACCCTTCGGGATGACGTTGGTAGCTGTCGTCGATTAACTCGTACTCGTCTTGATCCCGGTAGCGGCGATGTCTGGATCCCGCTGTCAGTCGTGGACGTCCTTCCGGGCGTCGTTGACCCTTGGTGTGATCTCGTGTGTCGGCAACATTTGCGCGACTTCTCTTTGCAAAGACGCTTACCGCGTAGCGTTTTGCCGTCCGTTCCTCGACGTTTCTTATCGAGCCTGACCTTGTTTCTGATTCAACTACCGCGTGTTGAATCCTACCAGGCTATTTGTCCCAACGAGTGTGTGTCAAGTTCAGCTCTGGGTTTCGTTTACCGTTTCCGGTTAATTCCCATTCGGGCTGCTTTATCACTTCAGACACTTCCGATTCGCTAATTCACTTTGGCAAGATCCCACCGCTGCCACCAAATTTGTCGTGCCGTAACGTCTCGGTGATGAAGGAGTTCGTTCGAGAGGTTAGGGCTAAGGTAATTTTTTGGAATCATTGCCGGTTAAGGAGTTGAAACTCGTGTGAATACAACAAAACAGAGAAGGTTTATTGAAACAATCAAGAGTGTTGTACAGTAGGTCGACGTACGTCGACTTCGAAAATATAGGCACCGTTCGGTCCTCCTATTTCCTGTACCGAGTCTACTCCACGAGGCCACCTTATCCGTTCGGATTTTAATTGTAGACTGTCCGTTTTCGGACGTGCAGCCATAAGCTGGACTTCCGAAAAGTAATTACTATGCGATTTTTAGATTTCCACATATTGGTTGCCAGGCCGCCTTTAGTTCTGACTTAGCGCATTGCTACACGCGTGAACTACTTGGCCTGGCGTTTCTCAATGGGGTCGGGAGACTCCCAGCACAACACCACCGAGAAACAAAAGCAAGGGAAGAAAATTCAGAGTTCGTAGGTGCCTACGTTTCTCTTGACACCTCCCTCTGATTGGTCAACTTTGACCTGCTCCCATTTAAAAACTATGACCTTCCGGAGAAAAGGAAGATCATTTTCGTGATCAGTGGTGTCTCCCGAACACCGCCATACCCCGTTGGTCAGGTAATTTCGGAACACCCTGTATAGTCATCCCTCGATTTACGTCGTTTTGACTAACGTCATCTATCGCGGAACTAATTACAACGTAAATTCGGGGTATGACTGTACTATACCAATAGGACATGAATATAAATCAATGGAATTCGAGTTGCATAACATCATTTTTGTTCTGAGAAATAAGAAAAATCTAATTAACTGTACCTACGAAATCCTACCCGCCGCATTTAGCAACTCCGCACAGATGACCTTAGAAATGTTCTGCTTTACGGAAGCTCGCGTCTAATAGCCTGCAACCTTCGAAAATCCGCGACCACACCATCTCAATAACCGACAAAAGAGGAGGTCCAGTGTTTTTACCTGAAGCTTGAGACCTTCACTGTAAAATGCAGATAACTAGTTCTTCTTGTAAATCCATCAAGTGTACAATTCAGACCACTAGTACAGTAGGCTCCCTAGGGCACGTCCGTAGACGAAATAGTGAACAGCGGACCCTCAACGTATCCTAGGAGACAACGCAGAATATCCTCTCTTCTTCAAGAACGTAGACGTTGGGGCGACCGATTCATTAACCTGCTTGAATTGGTATTTGTAAGTTATTTTATCAAAATTGTAAAGCTCTTTGTTCCTAACTTCCATTTGGATACGTTAAGTTCATCGTAAAGACAACCACCCTCTGACAAATATTGGTATAGTAGAAGCTCGTTCATTCGACCTTCGATTAATCGAGGCCCCGCATTAACCGAAACACCCAACTCATTCGAGCACTCTGCATTAGCCGAGGTGTATGCGTGAATAACACGGAAAAACTCTGATAAAACGGATGTGACAGTTATGCCTATGCGCGGAGTAGCCCGTAGCTGCTACATTATTTCTTACAGGCATAAACTTGCATGAGCCAGTTTCGTTCTTATATTGCGAGTTATTACTGGAACAGTTCCAATCCTGAAGTCAATGGTAGAACATCGTGATGACTCAAAAAAGGAAAAAGATTATAGTGAGTGTAGAACAGAAGTTACAAGTAGTAAAAAGATTTGATTGGGGCGAAATTATTCGCAATGTCGCAGCCGATTATGGAATTGCAGAGACCACTGTAGGAGATTGGCGTCAGAATCAAGCTAATTTGGAACGATTTACGACCTAATTCTGTGGTGCAATGAAAACTCGTAAAACGATGAAACCAGCAGAGTATGATAAAATAAATACGACTTTATTCTTATGATTTACTCGAATCAGGGAAAAGAGACTGCCCGTAACAGGTATGTATGCTTTGTCTTCAAATCAACATTTGTTGAATATGGCGGTATTGGCAGGACCTTTAATGAACCTTTAATGAATCATCTTGCGCACAGATATTTGCAAAAATAACATTTCTTCTCTCTCTCTTCTTTAATCCTAATTTTACAGGCTATGACTCTCGCGAAACTGTTTCCTGGCAAAAGGCAGACTTTTACAACAAGCTCTTAATGGCTAGAGAAAAAGGATGAAAAGGCACGATATTCGTCATTTGAACATTTATGGCGAAATATTGTCAACTGATGAAGTTGGACTGAATGATTCTCCATGATCCATCAACACAGCACCTGTTCAGTACCCCGATGACGATAGAAGGGCAAACACATCACCACTACTTATTTTTGAAGATGTTATAAACTGGAAAAAAATGTAAATAGTAAGGATCTAATATCCACAGTAAGTTTAAAACATTTTTTCTTTCTGTTTTGCTTTTTAGCATTATAATTTAATATAGCGTTTACGCTTATTTCTAGGCAATTCAAAAAAACTGCTACTCTGCTCTACCGAATAAACGATTAAACGCCTCTACTACTATTACTACTGCTACTGCTGCTACTGCTGCTACTGCTGCTACTACTACTACTACTACTACTACTAGACCATTAAGTGTAAGAATTTTTAATCTTGTACACGTTTATTTGATTTAAAAAATTATATTACATTTACAAATTTTTAAAAATATAAATTATGTGGTCGAGGGTCCATTTAAGGAACCGCTACAAGATGGCATACAGCTACCGGAGAACGAATATTTGGACTCCCTCTAATTTGGAATTGTATTACGGGTACATGCGCATGCAACCACCCGAAACGTGAACTGTGTACACCCCACTAGTATTGCACTACCTACTCGTAAACACGGAGATCGATGTAGATACGGGGGTGTGCATGCTCTGCGCGCGGTGCGTCATGCATGCGTATGCATCTGCAACGTGCACCGGTTGTATCGATTATTATACATATAGAGTTTCGGGATACAATCGTAATGTGGCGATGAAGTCCCTGCCCCGCAATTATAAACACTGTTTTTGTTATTACTATTACTATATTACTCTTATTATCATTAAATATTGTGACGTGGCACTTTGTGCACGTTACAAAAAGATTAGAGAATAGACGAACTCATAGCTGCACTCTGAGGTCTGCAAGGTAACATAAGATTTGCGTCAATCATAGACTGACATTATCAATAGGAATTATTATTAATTCCCTTCGGGGTATGTATTTTGTGTTTTGCAAATGGGAGTCGGTTCCGTAAAGGAATCGACAACATATTAGGACGCAAAAGGGCCCACGAGGGACTAACAACAGCCCTGACTACTTCAAAGGATCTCAGAAGGGACGCTGCAACCACCCAGAAGAGGAAAAGATGCCGGGATCTACTTTTCTAGGATCGAGGAGAACAATGGAAGATTGTGCGTGAATCAACCGGATTCGGGGATAGCGCAAATCTTATTGGGCCGAAGTACTATATTCCTCTGTTATATCCCAAAGCGGATCTACTCAAGTAAATGCAATCGGTAAATTCTTTTCGGCACATCGAACTTTTTGATTGCCTCATGTAATTCCTGGAACGCTGAGTAGCAGGCCACGCGTTCACACTACATGCCAGCGCGAGGAATGAAGCAAGACTCTTTCTGCAAGATCATCAATATTGCGGTGCATTATCCCAAAAATTGGAGCTAATGCACCTACAGTATTCGGAACCAATAGGCAATCTTTCGCGAATCCTGGCAACAGACGGAACTCGTCTAGGAGTCACCGTCTAAATCATCGAGTCTTGCTTGTTCCTCCGCTGGTAGTATTTTACGTGTCTTCGGATCCTTGTGACCAAGCCTTCCCACCCGAGGGCCAGGGAAGTCATCGCGATGAGCGTTCTATTAAATCTATCGCGAGTGTAACAGACGACGGATTTCCACAAAAAGAATTCAGTGAAGTGCAATATCAACTCTTTCAAACATATCAGCCATTGTAAGTCAACTTATCTTACCTACAATAAATAATCAATCTGTATATCTACACGTCGCTCTCATTCGTCGGCATTACATCCCCCACTTTCACAGGAAACAGATACGCCTAGCGTTAAATGGTAGCCCACAATTAGATATATCTACGCCTTAGCAGTTTCACTAGCTAAGGCCTAACACCTCCACGCCATTGGGGCATGCTAGCGGACAAACTGAAAATTTAATAATTGGTCGAGATATACGGGACCGTAAATTTAGTTGCTGGATCTCCAATTCAAATAGCACGAGTCGCCTTACGTTTGCACGATCGATCCATCTCGATACTTATTAACCCGGTGGGGACCTTGAAGGTCCGTTATGTCGTATCAAAGAGAAATGTTAAGAATTTGTGTAATGAAGTATGTCAAATCCTATTGCATGCGAAGTCCTATTCATTCCACGCTGCACGTAATCTTGTCGGTCGCGTTTCGGGTGATGTATTCGGGTGGTGTGCTTTTGGAAATCAACTAGGGGTTTACGTATTTGTTGGTTGATAAGTTCAGGACTAAATAGGTCTCCGGAACTGATCCCGGTATTCAGACTATTCGCAGCAGGGTAGAATACGCGGGTTTAGAAGTCAAGGAAAAATCTAAATTCACAGAGGGGAATTCGCGAGATCTTTATATTAGGCTTCTTGAAAATAGGTCCGTGTTACTAAGCCAAATATTGTAAATATTGGTAAAACGGTAAACCGGACAGAAGACTACTTGTCAGCTGATTTAGTAAACACAGCAATCCTTTTAAATTTTATTAGATAAAGTGCAGAATTCTGTATATTATGTGTGAATTTGCGTTATAAGATCTTGATTGTATAATTTACCTTAGATTCCGCTCTATTCATTCGTGTGTTCGATACTCGCAATTGTTCTTGGTAATTGTGTTTATAAAATTGCATTATAAGATTCTGATTCGTTAATTTCTTTTAGATTTTATTTCATGGCTTTGTTTATTTATTTTTAATTGTTACTGGTAGATTTGCGTACGGAAACGTCGTTCCTCTTTGCTCGTATCTTACGACACGACGTTGGTTTATACCTTATTAATTATTCAAATAATTGATTGGTGACATTTCTTAGGGAACTCTTGTTCTACATTCGTTGTGACCTATTTCTGGATTGGTGTCAGCTCAGGGTAAGAGTCAACGCAAAAACATCAATCGCAACAAGGAAGAGCGTAAGCGACAGAAGGGAACCCTAGGTATAATGCAAGAGAAATTATAATTAATGTAAACTGCCGATACACAAAGAAAACAAACCAAAAGATAATAGGATTCGCAATATAATAATCTCAAAATACAAAATACGCAAACTAGACTGAGCAGGATCAAAACAATAGCACTAATGGGGCTCGCTTGGGAGCACGCAGTGTCGCGACGGGGCTTTACAAGGGTCGATGAAAAGGGAAGTCAGGGAAGGAGGGCTTACTGGCACTAGATAGTTCTCGAAACCAATAGCTAGGCGCTAGCTACTGTCACGGTGTAGCACCGTCGAGTGACCTCATGAGATCCTCGAATATTTACTTTACTTAATTCGATGGCACGGCTAGCAGGGGGGAAGAGGAGGATATCTCAGGGAGAAGATTGCTGAACACAAAATCTTAATAATTATTTCGGATTTGCAATATTACCAAAAGTGAACGGGGGAGAGACAGGATTGCAGGGGGTTGACTGAAAATGGTGCAAAATACTAATACTAATCCACAAGTAATACATCACTCAGCTTCGCGTTATCGGCAGAAGGCCGGTCAGAAGTCCAAAAATTCAAAGTGGAAAATGCCGGTCCTCGTTAGATGGCTCACTAATATTCAGAAGGGATCTATAAAATATGAAGGGCGCAAAAAAGAAAGTTGGCATGGGAAAGATAGCCAAAGGGAAATCTCAATCAAACGCAATATTACTCATTCAGCAGCTCGTACACACAATATCTCAAATTATAAATTGCACTCAAAGCTCACTATTCGCACACTCTCACTTAACGTGTCCTGGCTCGAGGTGGTGTCTTCATGATTTTCGGTCCACGGCATTCCTTGGTGAGCCTCCAGGGCCTCTGGGATTGGCTGGATCGCTGGACGGAGTCGATTCAGCCGATAACGCGAAGCCGAGTGATGTGTTGCATGCATGTTAGTATTAGTATTTTGCGCCCTTTTTTAGCCAACCTCCTGTATCTCTTTTTATCCCCCGTTCGTCCAATGACCAATTGCAAAATCCAAAGTAATTATTAAGAATCTTAGGGAGGAAAGGTCCCGAACGCAACGGGAACCTTCCTCTCTGAGATACCCTGCACTTCCATGACTGACACTTAGATACAGGAAACTACGGAGAGGAATACCTCGACATCCTATATCTGTAAAAACTGTCACCTAAAATACGAGAGAGACAACCCTTTGCCCCCCACCCCGGAGAACCTTCTAGAAGCTTCGACGGACCCCGTGCAGGTTTCGGGCGGCAGCCCTCAGCCTGTTTGACCTCGAACGTTATCTCGTAGAATTGCGCATCGAGGATGCAGCAGCAGCATCGATTCCGGGAAATTTGTCGGCTCTCATTAGTCATTCGATTTCAGGAAGCCTTCGTGCAAATTTCGAATGGGAGCCCCCCGCCGGAAACTTTTTGATTTAGAGTTCGAGCTCAAAGTGCGCAATTCGGGTAGGTGTCTATCGCTCAAACCGATGCAAAACAATTCCAGGGAAATCTTGAAACCTTCGTATAAAAGACCCTTCGATGATGTGCAGCGACCATGGTTATTCAAACGCTCAAGTGAATTATTGGTGTCACCATAATGGATTCTGCGAAATGTAAAAAGTTGATCGAAATTATGGAAGGAGCCTATGAACTTCTAAAGAAGGGATCATGGATTGCAGAAATTGAAAAATGGACGAAATTTGGCACTCAAAATATTCGACTTCTGAACAAAATTTTGAGGAACGTTACGCTCACGATCGGAGAGAAAACCAAACTCTTGACAACCATTGGAATACTTAAATCGTTGAATGAGAAATTTAAACAACAACTTCAAAAAAGGGGTGAAGGAACGGTGAGAGAGAGAGAGAAGCAGTGACAGAGTGCATTGGGATGAGTTGAAATCTGCCTTCAGGGAGAGAATAAGGAATGGAGTAATTGTAAACTTGCGACACAAGGACTTCGAGCGTATCCTGAATGATGCAACAAACCTGTTCATTGTTAGAGTGAAAAACGCACTTCGAAAGGAGGAAAATTTGAAAGTAAACGTCGATTTGTTCTGTAAGTTCGAGACTATGAAAGGTAGTGAAATTGTCGAAGAACTAAAGTTCTTTAATACTAACAATAAGAATGAAATTATTCTACCATCCACTGATATCAGCGACTGGTTCAACACAAATGTGCACGAAAAAATACTGACTAAAATTGAAGACTTTCAAGAAACTGAATCAGGCTTGCCATTGCTTGAAATTATAAACTTAGCGGTGAACATAAACAAATATATTCCAATACACGTTGGCCTCCTGTCTACCTTCATTGAACTACCAAAGGATGTGCGAAATAGAAAAGCAGTTGTAAACATTAGAAATAGTGATCTGTATTGCTTTCTCTGGACCGTTACGGCAGCTCTTCATCCAGCAAAAGTTCATGTAGACAGGATCCGTTTGTATCCTCACTTTAGCTCAATGCTAAGGTATGAAGGTATACATTTTCCCATTGGTTTAACACTAAACCTACCAGAGCGGTCAAATGACCGCTTTTGAGACTTTAATCAAAATTGTTAAATTCCAGGTTTTTATTTTTCTTGAACTTACTGCACGACTATGCTAAATTCTGTATTAATTACAATCAACTGGAAAAGACTATAATGTTTATTTCAAAAGCGGTCATTTGACAGCCATCGGTAGAAATAGGTATATATAATATGTCGGTAGGTTTAGTGTTAAAGGATATTCCAAAATTCGAAAAGATTAATGATTTGGCAATAAATGTTTATGGAATTGAGTGTGATGAGAATAAGGGTAATAATGAAATAGTACCAATTTATCTAAGTAAAGAAAAATCAGATAAAGAATGGATTCACCTACTTATGCTAGAAACGGAAATAATTGTTTGAGTGCTGCAAAAAGTGCTCGATTGTTTAGCATGAATCGCCGGAAATCAATGGAAGAAAATCGAGATCGGGATAATCTGCGTAAGACGTCACAGAGATATCTGTGTAAGTCAAATGATATTATCATAGAACATTGCAGTTTTCAGTTAGTGCTTGACTGCTCAATTGAGAACTTCTGTTCTCAGCGAGTGATATACAATAGGCATGTCTTCGGCTAACGTCATCCTGCCCAAAGCCACCGCGAAACAAAAGCGAGGGAAGAAATCTCAGAGTTCGCAGTGCCTACGTTTCTCTTGATGCCTCGCTGATTGGTCAACTTTGTCCTGCTCACATTTAAAAACTATGACCTTCCGGAGAAAGGAAGATAATTTTCGTGATCAGTGGTGCCTCCCGAATACCGCCATACGCTGTTGGTCAGGAAATTTCGAAACACCCTGTATACAATTTAGATCCTCTTCATTATTATACTACATCAGACCTTATTTTTGATACTATGTTTAAGTGTACTGGCATTTAACTTGAGTTGTTAACCGACGTAGAGATGTTGCTATTCTTTGAGAGAGGAATTCGAGGTGGCGTAGCTCAATGTTCAAACAGATATGCCAAAGCGAACAACAGATTTATGGGTGCAGAGTTCGATCTAAGCAAAGAAGAATCGTATCTTATGTACTACGATGTAAATAACTTGTACGGCGCAGCTATGAGCCAATTTTTGCCATTTGACTCCTTCGAGTGGGAGGGAAATTTTGAAATACTACGTATTTGCAATATTCCCGATGATCCTCTTACGGGCTATATACTCGAAGTTGATATAGAATATCCAATTGAACTTCAAGAATTCCATAGAGATTTACCACAATGTCCAGACCAGTATACTCCTCCAGGTTCTAACAAATCAAAATTAATGAAACACTTCTCCCAAAAGAAAGATA